TGTATTAGATTCGATTGGGATTAATCCAAGAATATATATATATATATATATATATATCATTAGTTTTTTTAATATAAGCCATTTAAGGTTTGCATGTAGCTGTGATATCCTGGAGTACATGTCACTCTCTCTAACCTATATATGCTGACGCAATTACTTGCTTTATACTAGAGCCAAGTTTATATATACATGATTAATATATACAAGATAGGTTTTCTTATTAAACCATAACTATAATAAAGATGTGATGTTAGCGTTTTGTTTAAGTTACCAATTGTTTGAAAGAAGAGATGACAATAATAAATCATAAGTAGTATATAGTAATAAATAAATACAAGTCATAATAAGAGTAATGAGAGGATAATTAAGGAGAGAAGAAGAAAGCAGAAAATGCGGTTGGAGAATTAGGTGCTTAAAAGTTAGTTGAGTCCATCCCAGTATCTAACGGTCAACTCTCTCTTTCTCTCTAGATAAAAATTAAGAAATCTGACACACATACACACAATTCAATTAAAGAAGAGACAGAGAAGTTTGTATTTTGTTTGTATACCCTTAAATCAATCATGCAATTGGAACCCCCCTTCCCTTCTTATTCTCATTCCTTCTCCCTGTCTACAGTAATCTATAGCAACGCCATTATGTACATAGTTTTGACGGATAAATATATTACTCTTGTTTAATGGCAACATTATATATATATATATTAACCACATGAATTTGTGCGAAAATAGTTTCAAAATTTATATCAAAGTTAGTAATTGAAATTGGATGGGTGCTTTTCCATAATTCAAATTTGAACTTTGCTCATATATATATATATATATATATATATATAAACAAATAAAAAAACAATCGAATATTTATAAGAAAAATCGATGGCTGCAATTGCTGTAGCTGGCCATGTTTTAAACTAGTCAATTGTCGGATTGAAGTATATAGCCAATCCGATATATAAAAACTGTAAAAGTACTAAATAATAGTATAATGGGTATTAATTATAAACTAATTGTAAAAAGAAGAAGCACCTAAAAGTCAAGAGCAGTAGAGAAATGGGAGAAATATATCTGAAAAACGACCGCTTATATAATTGGAATTGAAGAGGCTATATATTAATTGAAAGTACATTTTGGTATAAAAATAATTAAAGAAGAAAGAAAAAAGAGAGATATATAAGGAAGAAGGAGTGGGAGCTAGGAGAAGAGGGAAGAGATCAGAAGCAAACAAGCTAGGGACTGGATTTGTATGTCAATGGCCGTCGACATGTCATCGAAGCAACCCACCAAAGACTTTTTCTCCTCTCCAGCCCTCTCCCTCTCTCTCGTACGTATAGTACTCTCTTTTCTACATATATATATATATATATATACACTCTCACATAAACATATTTTATATGCTTTAATCTAATGGAGGCATCTATATCTACAGGCTGGTATATTCCGGAATGCATCCTCCGGCATCACCAACCCTGAGGAGGATTTCCTGGGCAGAAGGGTAGTTGACGATGAGGATCGCACGGTGGAGATGAGCAGCGAGAACTCAGGACCCACGAGATCCAGATCAGAGGAGGACTTGGAGGGTGAGGATCACGAGGATGAGGAGGAGGAAGAGGAGGACAAGGGCAATAAGAGGAAGAGGAAGAAGTATCATCGCCACACCACCGATCAGATCAGACACATGGAAGCGTACGTTCCATCTTCCTATTACCTAGCTAACCCATTTTAATTAATACATACAGCTTAAATAATTATTCTTCACAAATTAATTTAAACACTTAGTTAGTTTAATTTCTTCTCTAGGGGATTCCGATTCATTCATTAGGGCTTCAATCAAGAAACATTCATTAGTTGGTTTTTGCCGTGTTCATATTTCTATATATATGTTTATAATTAAACCCTTTCTTCCCAACTATATATACATATATATATATATATATATATATATATGTTTATTTCATGTACCAATTAGTGGAAGAAGGAGAGTGTGTCTTGCGTCGAAGAGCAATTCACGCATCTCCAATATTAATTCCACACGTATATATACTTAATGATGTATTCATACTAATATATTGCCGATGATATATATATGATCCAGCATTAATTTCAATGCGCTTACATATGGTTTGCTTGCGCTTACTCTTTATTCTCTTCTCCTGACATGACTTTACACGTTAATTATAGCACATATATATAGGCTTAAACAATAAAGTGTTTCTTTGTTTCATTCGATCATCATAATTACAGCTGATCAGTAATAGTATACATATGCCTAGCTAGGGTTCAGTTGCATGCATATGTAAAGATTTTCATCTTTTAGAAAACAACGAACGACAAATTAAATGTGATGGGTTACTGTCTCAATTTGAGGTTGCAGGCTATTCAAAGAGACACCACATCCGGACGAGAAGCAAAGACAGCAGCTGAGCAAGCAACTAGGGCTGGCTCCTCGCCAGGTCAAGTTCTGGTTCCAAAACCGCCGCACACAGATCAAGGTATGAAAATCTTTACGTGATACGGATTTCTCAAAGTGACTAGTAGTATACGTAGTTTCTAAATCAAACATGCATGAACAGGCTATTCAAGAACGGCACGAGAACTCCCTGCTCAAGGCGGAACTAGAGAAGCTGCGAGAGGAAAACAAAGCCATGAGAGAGTCTTTTTCCAAGGCTAATTCCTCCTGCCCCAACTGCGGAGGAGGCCCCGATGATCTCCACCTCGAAAACTCCAAATTGAAAGCCGAGCTCGATAAGCTTCGTGCAGCTCTCGGACGCACTCCATATCCCCTCCAAGCTTCATGCTCCGACGATCAAGAACACCGTCTCGGCTCTCTTGATTTCTACACGGGCGTCTTTGCCCTCGAGAAGTCCCGCATCGCCGAGATCGCCAACCGAGCCACCCTTGAACTCCAGAAGATGGCCACCTCCGGCGAACCTCTGTGGCTCCGCAGTGTTGAGACTGGCCGTGAGATTCTCAACTACGACGAGTACCTCAAGGAGTTTCCCCAAGCTCAAGCCTCTTCGTTTCCTGGAAGGAAAACCATCGAAGCATCTAGAGATGCGGGGATTGTATTTATGGACGCACATAAACTTGCCCAGAGTTTCATGGACGTGGTACTTTTCCATTTATTACTGTTACCACCTTACTATAACTAAATCATATGTGTATAAAAAGAAACTGATGTGTACGTGTAACGCGCAGGGGCAATGGAAAGAGATGTTTGCGTGCTTGATCTCAAAGGCTGCAACGGTCGATGTTATCCGGCAAGGTGAAGGGCCTTCACGGATCGACGGTGCCATTCAGTTGGTGAGTACTTATCAACTTTGTATGTAGATATAGTGATCATAATTAATTAATGACGACTGAGCTGATACATGGGGATGGATATGGTTAACTCTGGCAGATGTTTGGGGAGATGCAGCTGCTCACTCCAGTCGTCCCCACAAGAGAAGTGTACTTTGTGAGAAGCTGCCGGCAGCTGAGCCCTGAGAAATGGGCTATCGTCGACGTCTCCGTCTCTGTGGAGGACTGCAACACGGAGAAGGAAGCTTCTCTTCTGAAATGTCGAAAACTCCCCTCCGGTTGCATCATCGAGGACACCTCCAACGGCCACTCCAAGGTCACCTGGGTGGAGCACCTCGACGTGTCTGCCTCCACGGTTCAGCCTCTCTTCCGCTCCTTAGTCAACACTGGTTTGGCCTTTGGGGCTCGACACTGGGTCGCCACCCTTCAGCTCCATTGCGAACGCCTTGTCTTCTTCATGGCTACCAACGTCCCCACCAAAGACTCTCTCGGTCCGTCTACATATCCGGATCCTCCATTTACCCTCTCTATCTTTCTATATACTATTTAACCTCTTCTAAACCCAAATCTTCCACTATCGATAATCAGGAGTTACAACGCTGGCCGGGAGAAAGAGCGTGCTGAAGATGGCGCAGAGAATGACACAAAGTTTCTACCGCGCCATTGCTGCATCAAGCTACCATCAATGGACCAAAATCACCACCAAAACTGGACAAGACATGCGGGTTTCTTCCAGGAAGAACCTTCATGATCCTAGCGAGCCCACGGGAGTCATCGTCTGCGCTTCTTCTTCCCTGTGGTTACCAGTTTCTCCAACTCTTCTGTTCGATTTCTTTAGAGATGAAGCTCGTCGCCATGAGGTACCTTATCAAACCCACACACATTTAGGCAAACAATAAAAACGGTTTCCACTCATATATCTATCGAACTATATATATCATCAGTGGGATGGTTTGTCAAACGGAGCGCATGTTCAGTCTATTGCAAGCTTATCCAAGGGACAAGACAGAGGCAACTCAGTGGCTATCCAGGTACTACATTTATTTTGTCTTCTACTCCTCACAATTTGACTAGTGGCCTTCATAATCTGGATATCTATATATTTTCAGACAGTGAAATCGAGAGAAAAGAGCATATGGGTGCTGCAAGACAGCAACACTAACTCGTATGAGTCGGTGGTGGTATACGCTCCCGTAGATATAAACACGACACAGCTGGTGCTGGCGGGGCATGATCCAAGCAACATCCAAATCCTGCCCTCTGGATTCTCAATCATACCTGATGGAGTAGAGTCGCGGCCTCTGGTGATAACGTCTACACAAGACGACAGAAACAGCCAAGGAGGGTCTCTACTGACACTGGCACTCCAAACCCTCATCAACCCTTCTCCTGCAGCAAAACTGAATATGGAGTCTGTGGAATCCGTCACAAGCCTCGTCTCAGTCACGCTACACAACATAAAGAGAAGCCTACAAATCGAAGATTGCTGATGACAAGTCACAGCAGATATAATTTACCTATATAAGTATATGATGATAATGTATAGCAGTGCATTAAGTTTTGTACAAAAACGACCAGCTCTCTCTTCTGCAAGCCTATTATTATCCAACACTTTTTGGTCCATTCCATTCGCAAAATGAAGCATAACAAGAGGAGCAAGTTAACCAAAACAAAAGTCGGATCACTGAGACCACAAGTAACGAAGAGAAAGAAGAGATACAGTAGTTGGAATCGCAAAACAAACATAATTCAGATGAATCAACAGCAAAACAACATTGATGGCATAAGAGATGAAATCACAAAAGCATTCCATAAATTACACAGGTTCGGGGGGATACGCAACAAACAGACAGAAGCAGAGCATCGGAAACCGGAAGAAAAAAAAAGACAGCTTTACCAAAAGAAACAAAGAGCAATCAAGTCTCTACGCCGGCTGCTGAGACTCCAAGGGAATGCCAAGGAGGTCACCTGCTCCGGCTTCGGCTTTCCTAGCGGCCCTAGGGACGACAGGAAGCGCCACAAATGATTTAGTCTTACTGATGGGTCTGCTCTTTTCCAGCCTGACGACGTCGCCAACCTTGAACTGATTATCGGGGTCATGAGCTTGGTACTTCTTCTTCATCCTCACGCGCCTCTTGTACTTGGGGTGGGGAGCCAGTCTCGTCACCTCCACCGCCACAGTCTTGTCACTGGTTGCGCACACCACGCGCCCCTGCATCGTTTTCATCGCTCTGATGACCGGAGCTAAAGCGGGCATTCTATGGTTCGGGAAGGAATTGGGCTTAGAGAGAGATGAGAGTGGAGTGGAGCCATGGGCGAACGGAGACGAAAGCTTGAGAGCTTGCAGAGAGGAGGTGAGGGACGACGTCATCCTCCGATTTGGAATCGAATCGATGAAGATAAGAAGATAAAAGGAAAGGCAGGCTACAATATTATTATATATATGTATAAGAAGGGATGTTGTATACAGATGGTCAAAAAAAATACAGATGGTAAATGGGCCTAATCTTAAAGCCCACCTTTTTTTTGAATCCTAAAATAATAATAATAATTAAAAGGTAAATCTGTCTTCGATCTTTTGCCCCTAAACAATCAAATCAATCAATGCCGCGCCGTTGGACTCTTGACGCCGCCTAGGGTTTCGAGGTATGATGTCTTCTTGGTCGTGACGACGCTTAGCTTCTCCTTCACCAACGGATCATCCGATAGATCCTTCTTCGAGTCCAAGTCGGCGTTCCCGGCCTGATCGAAGTCCCATCCCATGAAATCCGACAGCGTCATGCTCCCAACCAGCGTCTCGTCCTCTGATTCCATCGGCGTGTTCCTCTTGTTCCCCGCTCGATCTGCCTCTAAAACGTCATCGATTCTCGACAGTACCGTGTACGCCAAGCTCTCCAGTATTCTCGAGTAGCTCTCCAGCACCGCTTGACCCACGTCCTTGTTGAACTGGATTTTGCTGATGTCGAGTGCCGACTGAGATATCCCAGGGTATCTTTGCTTCAGAATGAGCAAAATGGTCTCAGCTCGCTCTTCGAAAACCTCTCGCTTCTCCAGACTTACTCCGGAGGCCCATGGTGCCGATGATTTGCTGTCTTTATAAACCATTTTGCGTTTCCATATAATGATTGATGCCTCGATCCTGTTTTTGAGGTCGACGATCTTGTGCTCCGACGACATGTCCATGCTGCTCAGGAACTGGTCCGGGTCAAAGAAGTCCACCGTTATATTCTTGTACATCTGATCCCCGAGACTCGCCCTCCCGTTCTGTATTTGTTTTTTACAAGTGAGTATTCTTCATCAACTCTTCTAATCAATAACATCGATTGTTACCTTGGGGAGAGAGTCGATGTAGCTCTCTGGTATCTCCATCTCGAACAAAACCTGTGCGTTTATGGCCATGGCTGCCTTTAGAACCTGGTTTACACAATCTTTCTGGTATTGCAAGAACCTTCTTGAAGCTTCTGATAGACCATCTGGGGGAACTTTGACGGTCGGAATCCACCATTTGTCGTCGTTTCTCTTACCGTCTGAGTCTGGGGAGTCTTTTGAGACATAGCTGAACTCGCTTTGGTCCTTGAAATTTTCTAGACAATCCTAGGTAGAAAAGGGCGATAAGATGATGATTTTGAATGTCCTAATTGGAATTATTAAACTAGGGGTGACATTTGTTCACATTGGTCAACGAGAGAGAGGTCTTACGATGAGCATGGCGTCCAATTTCTTCAATGCGGGGATATTCATGTGGAGGTCAGTACGTTGGCGTGTGGTCATTATCTGTTAGATCAATACCAACAAAGAAATCATTGTATGTTACCAAATATGAAATGCAGCAGCAGATAGACCAACCTCCATATTGGTCCCATCTTTATTTTTTTGCTGAGATGGAGCAAACTCAACAACGTACTCGGTCACGGAGAGAAGCCAATCGATCTCTTTTCTCCATCTTGCTCTCCTCTCTGCAGGCATTGGCTCCAAGCGACGTTGCTCTCCGAATACGGAAGCTACCAATCAGATAAACATCAGATGGTTGGTTAATAATAATTGTAATAACAGAAGAGGGTCCTAAAGATACCTGCAAGGTTTGTGATTGCGTTTGAAAGGGCGAGAGCAGATGATACTCCTTTGCCTCCACCGGAATTGTCCTCTCCCAGCAACAGCTTGGAGAAGCGCTCTTTCATCTGCTCCATGTCTGCCAAAAGCTGCTTTTCTCTAGCCTGTGCGGCGGCAAGGGCGGCGAGTGCTGCTTCATCCGCAGCTGATCTTGAAAGTGGGGGACCCTGACTAGGATGAATTATGGTCAACGGTTCAGCGTCATGAGATCCGGTGGCAGCCTCATCTAAACCGGTCTCGACGCTGAGACTCTTGTTGTGTCTCGTTGTACTATTGTTGTCGTTGTTCCTCCATTTGAAATTGAAGAGCCTGCTCCTATAGCTTTCCTGTTCTTGTTCCGAAGCACGAACCATTCCTGGTTTCTTGATGGCAAGAGAGAATTAGAGAGGAGAGAGAGAGATAGAGAGGATCAAAAGGGCCTCTCTTGAGAATCAAAAGGGAGGGGAGGAGAGGAGAGGCTGGCTAATCGGGCGGCAAAACAATAAAGGGGATATGCGTAATTGTTACAGTGATTTCGGCTTTGAGAAAATTGTGGAGCTTCTTCTTTCTTTTCTTTGCTTCCTTTTTTTGGAGGATGGGACGTGGGGCGCATGTTTCAGACCACACCTGTTAATTACAACTAATCATTATTTAGGATTTAGAAGATGGATAATTTAGAGATAGAGAGCAGTTTGAATTAAAATGATAATATATGTACTACTAGTAAAAAAATGTTTGTGAATTGTGTGATTCCCTTTTCATTGGATTCCCTAAACATGCAATTGTCAACGGGGAATCTGCTACGTTTCCAATTCCATACACATACATTGTCTTCTTTTTATGTTCATGAATCCTACAATAATTTGCATGAATATCAAACGTGCCATGTTGTCCAATAAAAAGTCCGACACAGCAGTCTTTTTATTATTACTTGCGCGAGTAAGAAAACTTGAAAAGGGTCATTTAGTGGGCCACTACTACTGGGTAAATTTCAAATATGGGCCCAAATAGAGGCCCATATCTATCTCTATCATCCATCGTCAACCTCCGATAATCATATACCGACCGACCACTCACTGATTTACAGAAGAGAAGAAGATGGAATCAATCGGAGTCCTTATGATGTGCCCCATGTCCTCCTACCTCGAGAACGAGCTTGAGAAGCGCTTCAACCTTCTTCGCTTCTGGACTTGTCCGGAGAAATCCGTCTTCCTAGAAAGTCATCGGAACTCCATCCGCGCCGTCGTTGGGAATGCTTCTGCCGGCGCCGATGCTCAGCTCATCAACGATCTGCCCAAGCTTGAGATCGTCTCCAGCTTCAGCGTCGGGCTCGACAAGATCGATTTGGGGAAATGCAAGGAAAAAGGGATCCGCGTCACCAACACCCCCGACGTTCTCACCGAAGACGTCGCAGATCTCGCGATCGGGCTTATCCTCGCTCTCCTTCGAAGGCTGTGTGAGTGCGATCGCTATGTCAGGAGCGGGAAATGGAAGCAAGGTGACTTCCAACTCACTACCAAGGTTTCTACTTCTTACCCACTATTGATTGACCCACCACGCTGTGTATATTGAAAAGAGCTCTCTGCTTATCTTATCTTTTGGTCTTCTATGTCTGCTTTAGCTTCACATTCGTTCTTTCTTGTTGACTCAGTTTAGTGGAAAATCCGTGGGCATCATTGGCCTAGGTAGAATTGGGACTGCCATCGCAAAGAGGGCTCAAGCCTTTAGCTGCCCAATCAATTACTACTCAAGAACCGTTAAGCCTGATGTGGCCTACAAGTATTATCCAACGGTGGTTGACCTTGCTCAAAACTCAGACATCCTCGTTGTGGCATGCCCCTTGACCGACCAGACCAGACACATTGTGGACCGGCAGGTGATGGATGCATTAGGAGCTAAGGGTGTGCTCATAAACATTGGCCGTGGACCACATGTTGATGAGCAAGAGCTTGTCAAAGCTCTAACAGAAGGACGCCTAGGTGGGGCTGCGCTCGATGTGTTTGAGCATGAGCCTCACGTGCCCGAGGAGCTATTTGGCCTTGAGAATGTGGTTCTCCTGCCTCACGTTGGGAGTGGCACTGTGGAAACACGGAATGCCATGGCCGATCTTGTGGTGCGTAACTTGGAAGCACACTTTTCTGGGAAATCACTTCTGACTCCGGTCGTCTGAGTGATGATGACACATTTGGGATTTGATGGCATTTGAGAGGCTTTTATTATGTTAATAAACTAGTGGAAAGGGTATAATTTCTCTTCCAAAGAAAGTTGCACTCTCGTATATAAGGAATGGATTTGAACACTAAAGGAATCCTCTCTGTTTTATGTGGCTTACTTCTCTTTCTTTTCCCAAAGTAGCATACGAGTATGTCAAGTCATTAACCATCCCAGACCAAGAAACGTATACCAAACTACTCATAGATGTCAGTGAAGTGAAGCAATATCTATTTTGTTGAGAATCAGCTGAACCTATATAAAGTAGAGAAGAGTATGACATAACACAAAACCCAAAACTTTAATTAGGGCTCCTTTCCAGCCTTCTTGGTCGGTTGCATGGTATCAAAACACTCATCTGTGCCTTTTTCCTTTTTGTGACCACCTTTCCTGATGCACATTGGAGTTAGTTTGGTAAATAACCAATGAAGTACCAGATACATACAGCAATGTGACCTAATGAGTGCTGGTACAAGCCGATCCCAAGTATATTCCCTGAAATGAATAGACAAGGTTTGGTTTGATGTCATACCCTCCTCCTTCTAGCTCAGCTGATGATAGTCTTTTCCACAACTCTCTCTCCATCTCCCCTGAAAGGCATTAGTACACTAGTCATTTCCAACGTTTCTATGATTAACTCCATTTTTTGGCATAAGTAACACCAGGGAATTGCCACCTTACCATTAATTGCTTCTAAGGCTACTGAGAAGTTATTCTTCACAACTAAACCTCCAACAAACTCCACAGCTGCACGGGCTTTCATTGCTGTTTCCGAATCTATGAACCAAACGTAACCCGAATCCAATCCACCAGAGTATTCTATATGCTGCAATAAGCACCGGAAGAGATGATAACTCAACAATCAGTTTTTAAGGGATTGATGGTTTGACAAAAAGTGTTGCAACTTACTTTAACGCTGCCAAATCTTTGAAAAAGATCCTTGAGAACCTCAGAGCCCACAGAATCACTGTTGTTCCAAGGTGGAACCACAAGTTGATCAGCGTAGTCGATTTTCTCCTTGCACAAGCTAGCACATGAGTTATCTGCCTGTGAATCTCCACTTTCCTTGACTCTATCATTTCCTTCCAATCTCTCCGCAATGCCTGCCTCCTTATCTTCGATTTTCT